CGGGAGAGGGAAAGAGCGAGGGCGAGAGAGGGAGAGGGCGCGCGGGAGAGGGAAAGGGCGAGGGTGAGAGAGGGAGAGGGAAAGAGCGAGGGCGAGAGAGGGAGAGGGCGCGCGGGAGAGGGAAAGGGCGAGGGCGAGAGAGGGAGAGGGCGAGGGCGAGGGCGAGGGCGAAGGTGAGGGCGCGAGAGAGGGAGAACGATAGGGAGAGGGAGAGGGAGAGGGAGAGGGCGAGGGCCGCGAGGGCGTGAGGGCGCGAGGGCGAGGGCGAGAGAGAGAGAGAGAGAGAGAGAGAGAGAGAGAGAGAGAGAGAATTATGTCGATCTTTATGGCTATGGAATAGTGCTGTTTTGTTAATTAGCTTAAATAGTTAACTAAAATTTGAATACTATTTCTCTTCACCATTGGTAGGTATCTGCTGTGGGCCATGCTGCAATGCTTGCAGCTATTAGGAAATATTTTCCGGTATTGGTAAGTTCTGTTCGTCCCTGCAAGTATATGGGTATTCTATTGTCTTTATATCACTTATTCATGGTAAAGTGTAGTTTTCTTTTTTTCCTTGCTACAAGTAAAATGCAAGATTTCTATTCTTCAAGAATCAATAAATCATATTAATTCTTTCATGGTAATCATGTTTTAGTTATAAATAATGGTTAGCCTGTTCATTGTTACTAGATCCCTTCTCCGTACTCTTCTGAACGGATGGATGTGGTGAAACAACTAGAACGAACAAAGAAGATGAATTTTTAGTCATGCAGCTATTTTGAAGATCTGCTCAAGATTTTTATAGCAATGTCATACTAAGCTGTCTGATAAATGTCACCTATTCTTGCCCTGAGCGATTTGTATTTGATGATTGAATCAGTGCAAAGTGACTTCTGGAATTTAAAAGTGTATATGTATATATATGGATGCATACGTATGCACATTTGATCCTCCAGGCATTTTAATGTATATACTGACTGATGCTTTACTATTGATATGTTGCCACATGCAGTTGTTTGTTTTTGAAAATGTCATGCTCCTCATTCAACATTCCTATAGGTATTTGTAAATGAATAACATAGTGAACCACACGCCTGGCATTTTGTCAAAAAGAAATCCCAATTGTTTTAGCCTTCTTCCTATTTGCTTGTTTCAGATAATATGCTTCTCTTTTTGTCAAAAAAATTTGTTTGGAAGCTTGAATTTAGCTTTGCATTCTGCCCATTAGTGTGTAGATTTATGGGTAACTGGTTTGTGTTTCCAGCTGAATGTGGCTGTAGAAACCATAAATGTCCAAAAGAACTGAACTTTTTTTCTTTTTTTTTTTTTTTTTTTTTTTTTTTTTTTTTCCTGTTGCGGGAGCAGAAAGTTGAGGGATATTGTACGTGCTGGAAAAAGGTAAATATTGGATACACTTATTTACAAACCCTAACAAACAATGAAGGGGACTATTGTATTATTTGGCTTTCTCACGAACCTTTATATGCCGGTAAAAATATCTACTACCTAGAAAACATGAATTTGCTCTTTAGTCCTCAAACCTCAGAAAGTAATTTCTTTCAAAAGATAAGCTTCACTCCGGGACGTAGTAAAATAGTGTTTTCTTAAATTATTTAAGATAAATGTCGTTCTAAGAGCGTGTTATGATACGCAATTTGAATCTTAAAGTTTAAATTCGATTTAGCAACGAAATGATTCAAATATCAATTTATCATGAACTTATACCATATTCAATAAAAATTAATTTAGAAAAATTCAATAGAAATAAGTTTGAAAATATTTTGGATGTTTCATTTAACACATAATGTTTGAAACTAAATTTTTTTTAAAATGTACAATCAAGAGTGGCAAAGGAGATGATTATGTGTAATTAGTAAGAAATCATAACATTCTTAATAGTTAGAAGAGAAGTTGAATTCAACGGGTATTACTTGAAAAATAATCTAATCCAGCTATTATGCAGGTCCGTATATAACGTTTAGAGATTCAATAATTGCAGAAGAGTATTAATAACACAATCATTTTTGTATTGAAGAAATAAATATACAATTCAGAATATAGCCTGTTAAACAAATCATATTGTCTGTTTGATGGCGTACGGAAGAGCCAGAGAGAAAGAGTTATGTTTGAATTTGGTTGGTTATTAGAATTTCAAATTGAATTATGATATTTATCGTTAGATAAAATCTTTTGGAAACAAAAAAAAAAAAAAATATATGTAGAATCAATAAAACTCATAACTTCTCTTTTAAGGTATGCAAATTACTGCAAACAAAATAGTTTAATAAAAATATCACCGATTTCATCATACTTTTAAAAAACAAAATGAATGTGCAACAATTTAACTAAAATTAACGATTAAAGAAAAAAAAAAAAAGTCATAATAATCAAGCTCGTTGTGCTTTGTGTAAGCATGAAAAATAGCATTGACAGTCGCGAAATTATCACGTTGTCGTAGTGTTGACAATAATTTTATACTCATACTCTATAAAACTTGAAGTAATGACTAAGTATGTGTTAATTATTTAAGATAAAAAATAATTTTCAAAAAGAAAAAAAAATAAATGTACGCCATTAATCATTGAGATCACCGTCTCAATCGATGTTAGAAAAACATTCTAAAATAAAAGAATTATCATGAACAAATAACAAAGTACCCTTCAATATCCCTTTAAATAGAGAAGAACCATCCATTGATGGATGAAGTTTGTTAATTGTAAATGGGAAGAAAGGTTTTGAGCATTGTAAGGGCACCGAGTACTTACGTAATTCGGATTCCTGCTGGTTTAGTAAGGTGTTGTTGGTATCTAAGACAATTTTCCTTCTTAAGAAAAGTAATATATTCATATTGAGTTTGGAAATCAAACAAATCTGTAAATGCGAAAATGAGAAGCAATAAAAGAGAGATATACGAAAGTTTTTGTTAACCATCTAAATCACGTGACTCAATACATATATTATGTACTCATT